GCGCCCCAGGGCCTCGCGAAGCTGTCTGTATGGGTGCGCCTGTCCTCCTGGTGCTTGTATGCCGGCGGCAGAGTAGCGATCCGGACTTGAAGGAGATGTCGGCTTCCAGCGGGCGCGCGCGTACTCGGAGACGCAGGGTGATGGAGGTCAATGCACGCATTAGTCCCCACTCGGAGTCCGAAGTCAATGTAGAAGTTTCACCGCTCCTCGCTCGACCACAGACGCATTCGATATGTTGAGAAGTGTAAGTATCACTGGCGAGCGGCTGATGCGGCGGGCGCGACTCGGAGTCGGGGAGGCCTACCATCGGGACCTGCGAAGCCACCATATGCCCGAACACTGAAGCAATAGATAGATCCCAGGAGCGATTGAAGACGATCTGTGTCAGCAGTTACCAAGGTCAGCCAGAAGAGACGCGTTGCTATGAACAGAACACGCACCACATACGAGACAGGTATCGCCGACCTGACTTCCGTGCACACCGTGTCAACGCGTGTCTGGGGATAATCACCACACATTCTCAGACACCCAGCATGAGAGCGTCTGAATTGCACCACCTGGCCAGACTCGAGAACGGGCTCTCAACGAGCTTCGCAATATGAAGCTGAGCATCAATAACGACCACGGGACTGTCCCTTTAGACAAAGTGACCCTCCACCCATTCAAAGAGCCTGGGCCACTGTACAACGGCTTGCAGCTACGGTGTTCAATAACCATTCGTCGAGTCAATTCAGATGTGATAGATACTTCCACACGCGGATTTCCGGGACAGAGACGCCCTTCCAGGAATCGCCCGTGGGGCGGTCCGACCGTGACCACTGCCCGCCAGCGCGCCGGCGTAACGTCGAACCCCGAAGGCAGTGTGACGCTGCCGCCGTCCGGACTGCAACACAGCGTCTGCGGGGAATGCGGGGAAAACGGTGGGGAATTGCCACTGCCCCGCAGGCACTGACACGTCTTGCTGACTCGGAAGCCAGGCAGCCTCGGTGATACACGGTAGCGACGCCTCCCCCGCCGCCACATCTAGGGTCTCCAGTGGCGAACAGCGTTACTCGGGAGGCGCAGTGCGGGGAGAGACGCACATTCAGCTGGGATCGGGAACCATCCTCCCATCTGCAGCTAGATCGAGCCGCCCTACACGACTCTCGCACGGACACGGGCGCGAGCGATCTTGGCGGATGGCGTGCCAGGGGTGTCAGCGCGAGTGAGTCAACCTTCGCATCCCCGCGCACGAGCGTGCCTTCCGAGTCTTCTTGTTCGGTTTCCGACAATCGAGAGATCCACAGGACAGATAGGGCGAGGCGATTGGACGCGACCTGACAAACCCACGCACACGATGCGTCGAGCTGCGGAATCGGAGGGCAGCCGTTGGACGATGCGGCGATTGCGATAGCAGCTCGAGCGTCGCGGCGACCGTGACGCGCCATTGAACTGATCGAACTGCGACTCCGGGAGGGCTGTGACTCTCGGGACGTTCTTCGCTCGATCCCGAATGTATATATCCGCTTGGAAGGAAGGTCGCAGCGGGGGATCCTGCATACAAGTCGAGCGTTAGTCGGACATCTCGAGAGCTAGAGCTAGAGCTAGGAATAGTCACCCGTGGCTTGGCCTCCAGAGGGGTGTCGGCTCGCGGAGTAGGATCCCACGGCCAAGCGTGTTCGCTGGACATGCCAGACAAGTGCCCGTCCAAAGAGCCCGATGAAGCTAAGACTTGATAGCTTCATATGTGTAAGAGAAGCCAGATTGAAGGCCGTAGGAGCGAGATTTACGTCGCGCGCACTCCCATCGAACGAGTTCGGATACCTTCTGAGCCGCAGAAGTGCACAGCTGTCAGCGAGGCTGCACGGGCCGGTAGCGCAGAATCTCCATATATGGTCTGCTCGGAGACTTCGCCGCAGAGTCTTCGTCTCTCCCGCGAGGACGACGCAGGAAGGGCGGAGACGGAGAATACAAACTTCGCGCAAGGTTTGCGCGCACGATGGCCCCACATGCAGGTGGGGTGGTTAGCCTAGGCCTCGACTATCGACGAGGAGGCCCCGTTCTGCGCAGCGCACAATACAGTGTGCACAATTCTGTGAGCGGACTCCGCGTGTATCATTGACATCTGCGGCCTGCGACTCGCGCGCACTGCCTGTCTGGTGTGAATATAAACGAGTATCAAAACCAAATCAAAACTCCGTGACAGTCGAGGGGACGACGTTCATTCGCCAGGCCATCTGACCAACAGCACCCCGGATCCCCTTGATGGATCATGGCGCTACGTGACGGTCCATCCCCGGGGAAGCCTGGTTGCCCTAGAGCGAACGGGACGCTGTAAGATCACGGAAGGCCGAGCGCGCAGTGGTAGATTTTCTGGGACCGTTCATTCCTCCGATGGTACAGAGGGACTATCGGCCTCGAACACGCATTGACTGAGAACCACTGGCGGGCATGAGAGCAGGACACACGACCACAGTCAAGCATGCGGTCGAGCAAGGCCAGGCTCGAGGCGTGTCACACGTTGCGAGCGGTTGACCAGCTGGTCACAGTGACGGCGTCGACAGTTGAGTTGGAGACGAAGTGACGAGATGCCTTGTTCTTCTGCGACCGAATTGTGCGAGTGCTGTACGCGTGATGGAAAATGAATATCCATTGACGGGTGATCCATGGTTACGGCACCGTGGCGAATTTCCAAAGGGATCCGACCAGCTTTGGAAAGTGCCTCTGCTGGCGGGATGCCTTCGCGTGCCTCTACGCTGCTTCGGTAGATTGCTGGACGTCCAAAATAGGTGGATGGCAGATCTTCTCCTTGCGATCTACGCCCCAAGGCCCATTATCTGTACGGCACACGTTGTGGCTAGTGGGATGAGGACGCACCTGCTTGGGAAGGAGATGATGTCACGGCCTGGGCCCGAGTGCCCGATGTCGCGAAGTCAAGAACGCAGTCGCCGAGCGGACGATCACAGAAGGCTGGGCGTCTACCCCGCATCCCGTCTTCCCCACAGCCGTCCTCGACGCCATGACGTCACGTAGCGCTCGCTGCCCGGCCTCAGCCAATCCTGTCCGTCACGCCGCGACGACCCCACAACGGCAGACCCGCCTCAGACGATCCCGATCTCGCTAAGAGTCGGCCGAGGCTCTCCTGCAGCTCGAGTTTCCACTGCAATCATAGCACGTACGTAGAGGGCAACCACGCACGCCAACGCCACCCAGGTCAAGTGATCCTCGTCCAAGATGTCATTTCGCCGGTATGATCTGCCTGGACGGCCTGTGGGTGCCTCCAGTTCCGAGGACACCCAGAACCGCAGTCAGGAGGATTGTCACGCAGCACAGCCTGCAGAACAGCGCACAGTAAACGAGACAACTCCATCCAGTGTCCGGGTACGTAGACAGCCGGTCGAAACCATGTCACGGCTGGCGGTATCCTCTGTCCGTAGTGGACACATACTGAGTAATCATCGGAGGACAAGGATAGAACACAGCCAACACACCGGTGCAGTATCCTCGGAGCATGCGCGATATGACGATGATAAAAGCTCTCTATGGAGGCGATGCACTCCCAGTGGCAGAGCCTCGGCCGAGTGACCACTCCGTTGTGCATGTCGACCGCGGCCATGCCTCGCTCGTCACGACAGTTTCGCCGGGTAACGCACGGAGCATAGACCGAACCATCGCCTCGGACCTGTGGAACAGAGTGTATGGCAGTGGTGCTTCGCAGCCCGTACGCGGAGCCGGAGATTCGCCTGGGACACGAACGCGAATACACCGCGTCCACCATAGCCCGACAATCCACAGCGCCATCGACGACCCTCAGCCGTCGCGGCCGACGCACCACCCTCCCCAGCGGCGCACGCAGTCAGGGCAAGATTGCAGTGAGAGGGAGGGTCTCGGCCAGGCCATGGAGCGTCCGAGGTCCCCGGCCGTCCCCCAGGATCCCGCGCTATGCCATTCCGAGCCCTCTGCTCTGATCAATCAGCTCGACGCCCGGCCCGCACGCGTGCGGACGGTGTCCTGCGCAGATTGAGATCTCGCGCACCGAAATCTACGCACCATCTCGGGACTTCGCGCGGGGGGAGGACCCAGCCGCAAGTGACTCTGCGTCACGGCGCAACAGATTTGGGGCCCTGGGATGCGTCGTCACGCCATGAGCGGGAGGACGGGGAGGCGAGGGCGCGCGCGCCAGGAGCAGCATGTGGCACTAGGACGATTCGGTCGGCGGTCCGAACGGGGGGAGATGGGGAGATGGGGGACAAGAGGCCAGCTGAGCGGGGCCGTTGGCAATACGCACGGACAAAGGCAGCAGCACTGTGCGGCGGGAACCGGAGGGCCCGGGGAAAGACAAAACGACGCACTGCACTTGGCTGCAGGTCTGTACGCGCGAGGTGGCGGGATATGGCAAGGTGTCGCGCGGCGGTGGTGGCACAGCGGCGGCCACGGCGGTGGCATATGGCACGTCCGCGCGAGACAAAACGATGCGCTGCGTTTGGTCGGAAGGTCGTCGCGAAATACGGTATGGTGCACCAGCTGCCCTCGAAATGGAGAGCAGGACGTCCTCGAACCTGATGAAGACAAAGGGAGAGAGAACAAGACCGTCGTCGGGCGCCTCGCGAAAAGGCCAATAATCACCGCCGAATAATAGCGGAGGCGTAGACCTAGAATTCGAAGACGCATGCATGTTGCACAAGACCCGCGCTAGCCTTTCCTGCTCACAATCAACTCGCCTCCGCACACGTACGACACCATAGCGATACTAGCACGCCTCTCCGCCACCTACAGCTCCGCGTACGGCACCCGCCTCGCCCTCAATAATACCACTACTAGCTAGCCGTAGTCACATACCCGCACAACATACAATGCCATCCGCTTTATTTGACTCGCGTTGTGTTATGACAGCGGGTCCTACGCCACGACATGCCCGCCCCGCGCTATAGCTGACTGTGGCGGTGGAATACGGCCGGAATCCGTTTGTGCAGCGTCTGGTCCCGCATCTCCGTCGACCCGTCCGAGTCCACCGATCATCCGAGAACAAGCCGTCCGCTGGGGTGGACTGTCCACGGTGGACTCCCGTGGACTCCACGAAGCACGTGACGTCCAAACAAAGGCGATAAGATTACAGCCTTTTACGGCGCAAGGTACATAGCCTCAAGACCCGGGACCGCACAAATGCAACCAGCTCTAAGAACGTGCCAAGGGCATTGGTGGAGGCTCGCAAAGAATGGTCGTGCAGGGAGGGAAGGTGGTTGTAGTCAGCAGGGTCAACAAACCAGGTGAGTTCCCTGCTTGTCACCTCGACCCTGACAAGCGATTAATGCCCACCAAGGACGACCGGACGGAGACGAACGCGACGGAGACGGCCCCAGCGCCGCGCGCGCGCATGCCCAATGCGCATGAGCGCGGTGAAGACGACTCCGGTGTGCGCGTGCGCAAGCGACACAAGCCCGCCAGCGCAAACTCACCAGGTATGCGCCTGACGACTCAACGAGCCTCAACATGCCGCGCACGGACCCGCTAGCAAGAGCCGGTTGCTTGTGGATGGGATATATCACGCGCAGACGCATACGGGTACGGCGAGGGCCAGCTCGCCGCACACCGACACGGCATGCCCAAGCCCAGCACGACCCAACTCAGCGAGCAGGACCGCGATGAACAAGGGCCTGCCAGGCACGCTGGTACGTGCACTCGCGCAGCACATAAGGGCTTACCGAGCAATCGCAGCCATCTACATCGACCCCGCTCACTCGTATGCTCGGGCATTTGGGCACCCACCTGCTTTCGCTCACCCGCTTACCCGCCCGCTCATCCACTCGGCCACCTGCCAGCCCACGCGACCGTGGCAAACCGGCGAGGTCAATGAACCCCTCGCGTCATGCGCGCGCTGGCGGACGTCCATCCGCCGCCGCCATACAGGCGCTCGCCTTGTGCCCGCCGTGCGCAAACACGCCCACAAGCCTAGTCTGTCGCGCCAACAACCGCTCTCGACGCGTACGAGGACACGAGCGCATCACTGGCAGCCTGCCACGCGGTCGTTTGTGGTGCCCACACACGACGAGCAGCATCCGCTGCTGCCCATCATGGCCCATTACTGCCCTGCCTGTCTGCGTGCTCGCCCATGCACTTGCCCGTCCGCACACGCTCGCCCATCCGCTCGCTCATGCACCTGCCTGCTCGCACAGCACCTGCACCCCTGTCAGGCACACCCGCCCCCTCGCCTGCTCGCCCGCCGTGAGCCTACCGCCTGCCCTCACTGTTAGCCAATTCGCGGATCATCCGAGTCATACTCACGCCTACTCACGCCATAGCATGCTGATTTGGGACCAACATCACTTAGAATACATTAGGCTACTTCATTACGGTATCTACTTGTACCCGTCGACGCGAAAATGTGTACACAGCTTAATGCGCTTCGCTGCATATCACGAAACAGTTGGTCAGACTACTAGTAAGAAATATTGTGATCAGTGACAATAGGGCAGTAATAACGGTTTACAATTAGTCAGTAGACTATATAATGTGAATCTAATCAGCTCGTTATCGGCGTCATTGTTTGGTCAGTCCAGCTCCGCGGAGTCCACGTGGACAAGTCCACCCCAGCGGGTCCATTACTTTGGATCATCCGCAATATAGCCCATCGCAACGCCTCTCCGTCCGCCGGCCCACCCATGTCCAGCCAATAACAAGATTCAGCAGATCATTACATAGAGCCTCAGCGGTGGGCCCGCCGGCGGTACTACGCCCAGCGTAATCGCGCGCAGGGTCGCCCGCGCCGCGAAGCGTCAGAAGCCATCGAGCCAGGTTCGCCAGCCCAAGCAGCGTGATGCGCCGCGCGACCCTCGACGCCGACGCAGAAAGAATGGATCGACAGATGCCCGCCATGCGAGGCAAGAGCCCGGTCAGAACGCGGGGCTGCCCAATGAAACGCGCTCTGCGTTTGAGGGTGCACGGTGCACCGCGCCGCCCCGGATCCGGTACGTTCGTTTGGCCGACCTAGACCTAGACCTCCGCCGCCCCTGGCCCATTGGACGCGGCGACGGGCCATCCCCGCGCAGGGCAACAAATGTCACGGCGTCGCGGGTGTGTAAGTATAGCAACTGTCAGGCTCAAACAAGACCGACGACCGCGCCGCTAGTCTCAAGATCCCACCGACCGTCACATCACTTTCGAGTTGGTTTCGAAGGCACGCGATCCCAAGGCAAGACAAGACAGACACACAAGACGGTGATCCAGATCAACAATGCGTTCGTCACTATATTGCGTTATGTACGTATCGTAATGAATCCTGAACATATCTGCTGCGTGCGAGTGCCCCTGCCTATGCCACCAACCCAGGAAGAGTATGCAAGTCCAACCATTATGACGCGTAGCGATTCGTACAGCCCGTTGCTAGTAGTACAGTGAAATGACACCCAACCGTAGAAAGAAACCGACAGAAATCCAGACGAAGAAGATGACGAGTAAAAATGAACCGAAGTCCATGGGCATAATGTAGCGTGATGTTGTACGTGATGGGACGAGAATGAGAATAGTGGTACATGGATAACAGGACAGCGCGACGACGTGGGCGGAAGGGGACAAGAGACGGCGTAAGGAGCGGAATGGCGGCGAATAAGCCGGGTCGTTAGCTATAGTACACAATACTACATACTTATGCACATTTTTCGACGCGCGGACGCGAATAGCGGTGGGTTGAGGTAGAGGGTGATAGGAGGGGTAGGGTAGGCGGGTCAGATGAGTGGAAGAGGACGCGATGCTGGCGGAGGCCCGGACGATATATCCCAGCGACGGAGACGACGGTGGCGCAGGATGAGAGGATGCGTGTGCGAGAGGATGCATGTGCGTCGACAGCGAGTAGAGCAGCAGGTGGATACTGAGGAATAAGTCAGTGGCGGCGCCGTGAGCGTCGTCGGGTATGTCGTCGGGAGGTATCAGCGTGCAGGGGGTATGGTGAATGCGCGTGAGTCGTGATGCAGAAGAGTCGGAATGCGATGCGATGCGATGCGGCAAGACAAGACAGGAAGGGGGGGCGATAACCCTAGCGGACATCCTTGCCAGGGAAGAGGAAGAGCCTTTTGAGCGGCTGATGGACCTCGACCTCGACCTCGACGTCCTGCTCCTCCCCATCGATGATCCTGCGCTCGACGCGCTTCTCCTTCTTCGGGATCTGGAGGATGGGGAACGTCATCGTGTCGTCGGAATAGCTCCAAGAGTCCCCTAGAAGCCGTTCATCAGCGACCGCAATACAATGAATAATATAACAAACTCACCAGTCGACTTCTTCGTCGGGCTTCTCGACGAAGGCCGCATCGTCAGATCAGCCTCGGTCTCGAGGCTGTCCGTGGTCTCCATACTGGCATCGCTGTTCTGTCGGCTGAGCGGACTAGGCTTGCGGCCGTAGGCATAGCAGCCGTAGCTGCTGCCCGCACTGGTCACGCTGCTCATCGTCGTCGTCGACGGCGACCGCGTCATCTTGACGTTCGGAACGAGCAGCCGCCCTTCAGCGCCGGGCTTCACCAGCGAAACCTCCCTCCGCCGCACCGAGGTCGTCGCAGGCATAGAGCGCGTCGAGCCGGTGGGCGACGTCGAGAGCGCGCCCATGAGAGATTGGCGCGAGTCGCTGCGAGAATGGAAGAGGGGATACTTGCTGAGTTCGTCCGCCTCAGAACGCGAGCGCATCTGCAGGCTGGCCGCGCTTCCTACGCTGCTTCGCGCCAACGGGGGGAGCGACGCCGTCGACGGCGAGGGCGCGTCGAAGGTAGGCGTCGAGAGAGTGGAGTAGACACCGCTGTGAGAGCGTTGGCTGCTGGCGACGAAGCCCTTGTAGGCTCCGCGCACGCGCTCCTCGTCGAGCGGCTTGGACATGTCGAGGGGGGCGGATAGGTTGTAGACGCTGGCACGCCATGCATGCGAGCCGTCCGTCCACCCGGGGATAATCTTCCGCTCGCGACGCTCCTCGGCAGGGTAGGCGGAGAAGCCAGACCGCTTCCTCGGGGGCTCGCGGCAGAGCGCTGCCCTGATGCGCTGCCCAGACATCATCACGCCCGAGGTGAGATCGTCGAGGGAGGCGGTGCTCTCGTTGGTATCTCGGCGGATGAGTGGAGGCGGTGGTGGGGGCCTCTTGGGCAGGTCGGGGAAGAGTTTGGTCAAGGCTACGTATGACTCCGGGGTGGCGGGCTCGTCGTCGTCGATGCTGGTCGCGCTCGGTGGTGACGAACTGAACGACGAACGCGAGTCGAAGGACGCGCCGCTGGCAGAGTCGCTCTCGCTCGAGGAGAAATCGGAGAAGGAATTGTGCGGCACGGGGGGCAGGGTAGGAGAGGTGCAGCGGTCGGGGTTGTACTCCATACCCATGGCGCCGAACGAGGACTGCATGTCAACCAGGCGGCACTCGTCGGAGCAGTACAAAGGGACTGGGGATTGATCGATGACGGTGCGGTGGCGAACCGCACCTATGGGGCGCGTCGAGTTGGCATCAACCCCGGCCTCGGGTGTCGGCTGTTTCTTTGTCTGCTTGACGGTGTCGTCGCGCTTGAGGGCACCGTTGGGCTTGACACGACCAGTGCCGTGAACAAGTCCACCGCCCCTCGGACGTATCGTGCCCGTCTTGTTGCGCGGAAGACGCGCGGGAGCCTCCACGGCGACTTTGGGCTCTGCGGGCAGTGTATGTGAGTGACCGAGCGCGCGGCGGATCAAAGGCAGGTCGACTTACCAGCCGTGGGCGAGCTTGGCGGCGCCGCGGGTGCTTGTTGTGGAGGGTTGATGGGCACGTAGTAGCGTTTGGGGAGGATTTGGCGGCTGCATACCGGACACCATGTTGTGTCGAAAGCAATGTCCATGGCGGAGAGTGGGGGCGTGTGCCAGGACGGGGAGCTATATGAGGTGCGGGTAGAGGCGGCCCAAGACGAAACAGGGGGCGGGTGGCTGCCTAGGGTGCCTGGGGCGGCCTGCGTGGAGGGCAGAGGCGGCGGGACTTTGGCGGCAGCGAGAGGCAGAGGACGTGCGGATGGCGCTGGGAGTGGGGAGGAGCGGGAGAGGAGGCGTAGATTATTTATCGCACTCGCCTGTTGATGGGCGCGAGTGGGAGGCCTCGAACGAGCGCCCGCTCCCATTGGCTGCCCGATGCGAGCTCCGAGCAGCTGAATCCCTGCCGTCACGCGTGACAGTCCTCCGTCCCAGGCCGCATGCCCGGACGGCCACACCGCGACGGGCTGCCTCCTGCCTTATCCGTTCCAGACGTCATCCGCCCCCAGGCGCCGGCCGCCCATTGGCCCCGTGGTTGCCGGCCACCGGCGCGTCCTCGCCCGGGCCAATCACTGCCCCCGCCTGTGCCCCCGCCTCTGCGTTCTGCCCAGTCGAGACCGTCTCCAGAGCGCTCCCTCGCTTGCCTGCCGTCCTCTTCCCTTATCCGGGCCCTGCCTCAACCCTAATATTCTTTTTGCGATCCCCCGTCCTCTTCTGGCTCCCCGGCCCCCATTGGCTCCTCCCGGGCGCCTACCCCCCATTACGTCCTCCGTACTGTGCCCCGCTGCGATTTCCCAGTCCATTTCCCAACCCGTCCGCGTCTGCAGGCTTGCTCTCGCGTCGCTTCCATCCCCTCTCAATTTCCACCGCAATGCAGCCGTCGCCCGCCACCTACAGCGTCCGCACCTCACAGTCGCAGTGCTGGTCGCCCTCTGCCCGACAGACCCGACCATTCCCCGCCGCAAAGGCCCTGTTTTACCTCACCGACCCAGGGCTGGCGGTCCAGCCCCGGGTTTTCCCTCCTGCAAGCGACCCGCTTGCCCATTCCTGGCACGAAGCACATGCCCCGCGTGCCTATCGCCCAATCTCAACAACGCCCGATCTCGCGCTCCCGCAATCTCGATCCCGCGCAGCTGCGGCTCTTGCCGGGCGAACTCGAAGACGCGTCTATCACGCTCAGCGTCCCCGCTCTGATTGGCCTGTCCCCGCGTCCGTCCGCCGTGGCCTTCCCCGCCCCCGCCCGCCGCCCGCCATCTCCGCCCCCGGCGTCGCGCCCGCCCCGATCGCGCGCGCGCCGCGTCTCCCGCCGGAAGCATCCCTCGTGCGCGCCGCCGCTGTGTCCGACGGCGTCCTCGCCCATGCTCCGTCGTGATCGTGATCATGTTTCACCAGTGCTCCGTTGCCACTGGCGTCGACAGGTCTCGCCCGCCGCCACCGGACGCCTCCTGCCAATCTCGTACATCGCGCTCCCTCCTTCGCGCAGATCGCCCCGCCCCTCGGATCTGCCGTCCGTCACATGTCTACTAGCTGTTGCTGACTCGCTCACTACAGCGGCCACGCTCCTACCATCCTCCTATCGCCACAACGATCACCGTTCTTGGTGATCCGGCTCTCCGTACGCCCGCAACCATCTCACAGTAGTGTCATCTGCCAATCGGTCTTCTCTCTGCGCCCGACACCCCGACATCGGTTCACGCACGCCCGCGCGATCAGCATTGCTGTGCACTCCGCACTGCGCGGCCCGTGGACAGCCGTTGACGTGAATATTATCCTTGCAATGTGTGCGCGCACGCGTACTACACGCACCGCGCGACGCTAACTCTCTCCGGGACGCTCAGCTGCGCTGGTC